CACACACACACACACACACACACGGGGGCCAAGTCCCACTAGCAGCGTTGAGCAACCTCAACGCCTGAATCTGGATGTTTTCACGGAGATGTGCATTTCAGGAAACTCGACACTATTTCTGCACATCACCGCAAAAACGTCCAGATTCGGGCGTATTTTGCTTTTTTCATTTTCTTTTTTTTTGTTTTTATTTTTCACGTATGAAGGTTTTTTTTTTTTTTTTTCATTTCGTGCAATAAAATGTTAGTAAAATGCCTTGTCACGCATGTACCGGTAGTTGCAGGCTCGGCACGGTAGCCGTAGCCTACGCCTACCGGTAGTTGCAGGGACTGGCCTTCCACATCGGTAGTACATGGCTCAAGGCTTGCAGCAACAAATCTTGTCACCAGGAAGAAGGTGAGAGCGGGCTCGGGCAGGCTTGGCCCGTTGGAAACAATTTTTCTGTTGGGACCCTGCGGCCCCATTATTGGACTTCATTTCGACGAATGACGCTTTCGGGTATCATGGATGGTTTATGTTGGGTGGCTAGGAAAAGTATAGCAATGGGTCTGGGTTGGAGGTCGTAAAGTACGCGAGAAAAGACAAAACAGGCCCTTCCTGGTTTTATGAAACGACGAGCGAGTGGTATCTCACATCCCTTCCGTATGTGAGAGGCGGGCCTCCTCAAGACTTGTTCCGAACAGTCGGCCGTGAAAGCCTATCTCACCCATAGGGGGGGGAAAAAAAAAAAAAAAAAAAAAAAACCAATAACAAAAAGAAAAAGGAATCTTTGTTGCACAATGTCTTAATTTGGAAATGGCGCCAGAGAGCTTGGAGTCATTCCTCAAAAAAACTCTTTTTTTTTTTTTTTTTTTTTTTTGTTCAAGAAAAAGAACTCTTAAAGCCCAATGAATGGCAGTTGTTCGGGAGGGAAAAAAGAAAGAAGGGAAAATTGCATCTGTACCCCCTTTTAAATATGGCAATACCCGCTATACCCAGTCCAGCACCAACTTGCATCTATACCACTACCCTGCCCAACTTAAGGTAATACCCCTACTTCTCCCATGTGCCAACTTATACGCATACCCTCCCACAGGCCCTCGGATGGGGAGCACAAAATTATGCTTATGCCCTCGAACCGGGCAGGCAAAATTGGGTATGCACACAACTTGCCCGGCCATGAGCATAATTTGAGCATTCCGGTAGAGGGGTATAACTGCAAATTGGCGGTACCAACCTTGGCCCACCTTCGACCTCCTGGGCATGCAAATAATTTGCGCAGACCACTTCCCGGGGTACAGATGCAAGTTGGGCACTGGCACTGGGTATAGCGTGTGGGATTCCCATCTTAAGAAAAAAAATAGGGTACAGATGCAATCCCCCCCCCCCCCCCGCCCCCGTGCCCCCCCCCCAAAAAGGAATAAATTGTTATTATAACTTATTAACATGATGGGACGAAAAAAAAAAGAAAAAAAAAAGTGTTGAAATTCTTCTCCTCTCCTCTTCAGCAGCCGGGAAGGGAAGCCCCCCCTTACCCAAATACAGTGTTCCTAACCTGAATTCCGTGTATCTGATGTGAATTCAGTGTATCAGATCTGAAATTCATTGTATCCGACCCAGATTCTGTGTTTCTGGCCATTTTTTTCCTTCTTTTTTTAAAAGGCCGACAGCCTTGAGATGTCGTTGTGAAACTGACAGTCGCAGGTAATTCAGAATTCGATCAATTTAATTCCATCCTAGGCTACCAGCCGGGTCGCCCGGGTCCCGGGTGGCCAGCCCGTGCAAGGACCAGGGAAGGTCCCAGCAAAGAAAAAACAAAAGGAACAAAAATCCAAAAAATCCGAAAAAAAACTATGTTATGCAGAAAAATAAACTGAACAAATTTTGCCTCAGGGTTACATCGAAATTCTTCACCCAATTTAAAATAAAAATAAAATTTAAAAATAATTTGTTTATTTTTAAATTTTAATATTTTATTTTTTTTGGCCCGGCCGGGCAAGTGACCCCGGGCCACTCTGGTAGCCTAGATTCCATCTGGATTCGAACTCAGGTCTGTATTTCAACAGTTGCCAACTGAGCTACCATGGTCATCCGAATAGAACCCCCCCCCCTCCCTCCCTTCCCCCCCTCCTCCCCCCCCTGGACATTATAGCTGTATGCTGGGCAACATTCAGTCTGGATACGCTGAATAGGCAAGATGATCTGGACTGCAAATTATTGCCCTGTGCCCTCCTCACGAAGATCAGGGTGGAGGGCAATTAAGACGAGGGGTGGTATGCCTATGGTATGCCTATGAAGGGTCGATCCCAATCTATGCCCCCCCATTTGACCCAGATAAATGGGAGTGGCCAGCCCATAAATCTATTCGAGTCTGGCGATACAGGGGCTGATCAAAGCGGGGTACCGCCACACGCGTAAGGCCCACCCCTCCACCCCAGTCCTGCAAAAGAGATGGGCCAGGGGCTCACCACTGCCATCTGCTGCACTGCGAAATATATACCATGGACCATGTACCCTCACGTCGAGCCTATGTCCCACCGGGCTCTCCAATGGCATAGATGTTTGTCCACGGGTACCGCCACACGTGTAAGGCCCACCCCTCCACCCCAGTCTTGCAAAAGAGATGCGGGGCTAGGGACTCACCGCTGCCATCCGCTGCACTGCGAAATATACGCTGGACCATGTACCCTCACGTCAGGCCTATGTCCCACCGCGCTCTCCAATGGCAGATCCTCATAGATGTCTGCCCACACTGGAATGGCTGATCTCACACACTAAATTAGAGGAGTAAGGGATTTTGTCCACTATCTGATTAGAGAGGAGAAAGGGATTTTGTCCCCTATCTGTGCGCATTGCAGCCTGCGGAGGAGCGCAGACCTTGAGCACTGTCTGCTCGGTCGCCCGGTAGCAGTGCAACTGTGGAGGTGGTGGGATGCCCTAGCAGATCTTACATAGATGTCTGCCCACACTGGACTGGCTGACCTCACGCACTAAATTAATGGAGAAAGGGATTTGGTCCTCGATCTGTGCGCATTGCAGCCTGCAGAGGAGAGCAGACGACCTTGAGCACTGTCTGCTCGGTCGCCCGGTAGCAGTGCAACTGTGGACGTGGTGGGATGACCTCCGGAACCGTCTAACGGACACACTCTTCCCCTGGGATGTTAGGTAAATCCTGCTAGCGTCTTCACCCGAATAGAACGCCCGGTGATTATCGCTGCACCTGGACTGAAAAGTGCCCCAAATACAGCTATAATGACAGGGCGTTATATCCGGGTGAAGACGGTAGGCAGACAGAATGACTACCCTCCGCAGTAAACTGCCTTCCAATACAATCTATTCTTTCTTTCTTTCTTTTTTTTTTTTTTTTTTTTTTTAAAACCMCCAGTMCCTTTKTCGGTTCGAAAATACTCGGCCTCCGACCTTTCAGGAGGCCGAAACGAAACGACGGCCGCCGATCAGATTGATCAACGTCGAGCTCGGCCTCCTGAAAGTTCGGGTACTGGCCAGGACTTGTCGAAACCGGACGCCAAAGGTACTAGTGGTTAAACAAAACAACCCGATCGGCTGCTAGGGGTGCTGGTAGGAGCAGACACCACTAGATTCTAATGTAGCCGGCTCACTATCTTGATGGTGGTCCGGGGAATTCGGCGCTCCATGGACAGGAGGGAATTTGTTTTCGGTCCAATACAGGCAAAAGCAGAAATTGCAGAAACTCTAAGGACCAAATATAACTATGGTCCTCAAGGCGATTCCGGCCCAAGATCGTTGGGTCGATTCCTTGCAGGGTCGTTCCGACAGCGTGGTTATATATACCCATTACCCATTGCTTGGCGTGGTAATTGCCCGGGAGATAATACCCAGGCTTGGTGGGTACAAGCAGGGCCTAGTCCCCTGCAAGAAGGTCTTGATGGATGCCATGTGGAGAGTGTGTGTGTGTGTGTGTGTGTGTGTGTGTGTGTGTGTGCTGCAACTATACAGGGGTGGGTTGGATATCACGACGGGTATGGTTCCACTGTTGAATACTGGGTCACGGTTGGAGAGGTTAAGGCATCTGGCTGTTTAGCCCAAGATTGACGGTTCGATTCCTTGCGGCGTCGTTCCAACAGCGCGGTTATATACCCTGTATACCCTATACCCAGACAGGGAAGGATGGGTTAAGGCGTCTGGCGSKTTAGCCCAAGATTGACGGTTCAATTCCTTGCGGGGTCGTTCCAACAGCGCGGTTATATACCCTGTATACCCTATACCCAGACAGGGAAGGATGAGGCTCTGAACGAATTTCGTAACATGTGGAGTGATCCCCAGAGTAAGGTATGTGAGGTTCATTCTGATGGGAAAGGGGAAACTGACATGGAAAAAAAACCCAAATACAGCCACTGGTATTCCTGTTGCCTGTGACGTGTCTACCGCCAAGGGGTGGTAGAGTTGAACCTAGGATGGTGGTGGGTACCTTCTTCCGCCGAATACGACGTATGGTAATTACAGCTGTATTTAGACTGAAAGATACCCCAGATACAGCCACTGGTACTGACAACAGGAATACCACTCTTTCATCTAAGGGGGGTGTCTAACGGCCCAAACAATTGGTTTGGTAGAGGAGAACCTTGCATCGTGGTGGGTACCTTCTTCCCCTGAATGCAACGTGGGGTCATTACAGCTGTATTTAGACTGAAAGAGGATGCCGTAAATACAGAGCTATAGTGACCGTATGTTGTGTTTGGGGGAAGAAGGTAGTTTATCCGGGGCGGATACCTTATCTGGGGGGTGCTTACACAGCGATGTTAAATCACCAGTACACACGGGTAGCTGTATTTAGACTGAAAGATGCCCCAAATACAGCTATGATGACCGTATATACGTTGTATTTTGGGGGAAGAATGTCAGTTTATCTGGGCCTGATACCTTATCTGGGGCGCTTACACACTAATGTTAAACCGCCAGTACACCCGGGTAGTCTGTATTTAGACTAAAACATACCCCAAATACAGCTATAATCGCCATACATTGTATCTTGGGCGAAGAAGGCTATTTCTCTGGGCCTGATACCTTATCTGGGTGCTTTGCTTACATAGTAATGTTAAAAACCACCAGTACACCGCGGCTTGAGGTGGCGCGCAGTGCGCACCAAACTTTTCCAAACTGCCACGGGCTCACTTTTTTTTTTCTTTTTTTCTTTTTTGGCTGGCACCCCGCCAGCCATTGTGGTCTGGCAGGCAACCACCAGTACACCCGGGCCTGGAGGTGCTGCACTGCGGCGCCAAGCTTTGTGCTGCACGTCACGCCAAGCTTTGTGCTGCACGTCACGCCAAGCTTTGTGCTGCACGTCACGCCAAGCTTTGTGCTGCACGTCATGCCAAGCTTTGTGCTGCACGTCACGCCAAGCTTTGTGCTGCACGTCACGCCAAGCTTGGCGCTTTGTGCTGCACGTCACGCCAAGCTTGG